AGAGAGAGAGAGAGAGAGATCTAACAGGTGTCGACTAGGACTGCCCATGGACCAAACACTGCGATAAGCGATACAGTGGACAGCTACTCTGGACGGGAGCGTCAGATTGCGGCGCGTTCCTCATTTGGAATTGTGTCAAAAAAAGTGCTCTTGCAGGTATTTTCTGGGCTTCATTTCCTCTGAAGTTAGCAGCATTTTAAACTCAATTTTCTAACTGGAAAGAAAAGAGGGGATTAAGCGCTGATTAGGAAACTCTCATCACTTTCCTGGCATCTCCTGCGCGCCCGTCGGCTCCCCGGCTCTCCATTTGGCACTCCAGCGGTCCAAAGTCCTTCAGTCATTTTGGTGGGACGCGGACTGATGCTGATGCACAGAGAATTTTATCTTCCAGAAGTAATATTGGATTATAAACAGTACATGGTGAGTTTTTATTTGTCTTTTTCTCTTTCTTTTAACAGTTTTAAATGTAACCAGAAACACGTTCATGGTGCGTTGTAGATTGTTACATATTATATGTAATTAACCCTGCCATTACCTCATCTATGAAAAAATATATATTTTGCTCATTTCATTATTTTTTGCACCATCTTTATTTTAGAAAATATTATTTTGATATTTATTTTATCATTTCGTTTTAAACACTATTTGAATTAATGCATTAATACCATAGTTAAATTATAGCTATATAACAGTGGAAAATAAGGACAAATCACTTACTGTCTTCGCTCTATTTGCCAATCTTTCCAGATCCAGATATAAAGAGGAGGAGGAATCTATCAAAAGCACACCCAGTTTACAAAACTGTTATTGGGTTCCTGAAAAAAAAAATCTCCTTTTTAATGTGGACAGTGGAAACAACATAAAAGTGGAGGGTCATAAGATGATTGTGTCAGGAAAAGATCTTTGATGAACTTTTGTCACTTATAGTCATGGCATTAAGTGAGATGTCCACATGAAGTGAAATCCTGTGCTTTGTAGGGGGGGCTTGAAAGAAGAATTTTCTTTGAAGAAACTGTAAATCAGACTTAATCCAAGACAACAAACAACACCTCCACGCCCTCCTCAATGAGCTGAGTTTGGCACCAGCCCTCATTTCAGCACACTTTTTCCGCTCTCACAACAACCCTCTCAGTGCCAGTCATGGTTCGTGTTTGATGCTGAAAATTAAACTGAACTGGAGGGACAACAGGGGAAGTCAAAACAGCTGAAACCGGACTTCATCTGATAAATTATGTTTTTTGTAGTGGGTCAATACAAATCTGAGATGTCCAGATTTTTGTGTTTATTTCCCTAAACACTGTGGTGTGTGACAATTTCACCTTTTTAACCAGGCTTTTAAATATCTTGTTCCTGGTCCATTGGACATCTTTATCATTTCTCTAGGATCCTCTCATCCGGTTGTTTCCTTTCTGGCTGTCTGCCATTTTGCGTTTTCATACTTAGCCCAGTGATACACTCCTCTCTACATCCTTCTTCACCTTTTCAAACCATACTGGTTCTCTGAGAGGCTTCATCCTGGCCGGCACTATTCCAGCCAAAGGGGAAGAGGACTTCCTGACGCTGGCCGCCTCGCGGCTCAGCCGCAGGAAACGCGTCATTGGAGCTGCTGTAGGTGTAGCCATGGTTCTGATACTGTTGGTGGCCATTCCCCTGCTGGTCCACACAACCAAAGGGAGGAACACCGGAAATGCAGGGAGCCATTATGAAATGCTTGGAAGCTGCAGAATGGTATGTGACCCCTATGCTACGTCTCAGCCTGGTCAGGAGCTGACAGCTGTGTCACCACCTCCCCAGGATTACTCTGGGAAGAAGATAAAGTCTGGGCTTCGTGGGCCTCAAGGGCCTCCAGGGCCTCCAGGAGCACGTGGACCCCCTGGAGAGCCAGGCAAACCAGGGCCACAGGGACCCCAAGGTCCAGGTCCTGGTGGCTATTCTCCCTCGCTCTACACTCCCAAAATTGCATTTTACGCAGGGCTACGCAAGCAGCACGAGGGGAGTGAAATACTGAAATTCGATGATGTGGTGACCAATGTAGGTAACTACTATGAGCCCAGCACTGGCAAGTTCACCTGTCCTCTGCCTGGCATCTACTTCTTCACCTACCATGTTCTAATGAGAGGTGGTGATGGGACCAGCATGTGGGCAGACCTAAAGAAGAACGGACTGGTTAGTAAATATGTGTGTGAGAATGTGCATGCATGAAAGTGTGTGTACAATAGAGGGTTTGAATGTATGTGTTTGTATGTATGCACACACACGACCATGCAACAGATTTTTTTTTCCACTGTTGACCATCCTGTGTTACCATTGACTCACATTCACCTCTGTATTGAGCTCTTCAGATTCAGAGCACATTCCACTTAGCAGGTGGCAACATGACAGCCAAAGAATGAAATAGCAGTCCTTCTCCTCATTAAGGGGAATTCATGCTATACAGTCTAAAATCACAGCTACCGATATTTGCATTCCCATGTCATGTACTGTGGCTAAATGACAAGTGGCAGAATGCATAAGCTGCCACCACCAAAAGGAACAGTCTAATTAGTAAGTATCATACACAGAGCTTGATTATCGCCTAAACAGAAGTGCAAAAGAGCACCAGAGAAATGTCTGTCAGTACGTGGACCAGTCAGTTTACACCTCAGCTAAATAAATAATGAATGTAAAATTGACAGTCCACTCATCCACTCCCTCATTCCCTAGACACTAATTAAAGACAGAGGGGCTGATGGGGGGGAGGTGGGATAAATCAGAGGACTCCAAATTCAGGAAACATTCTTCAAGTTGCTTTTTACATTCATTCCTACTTCAAGGACTTTAAATGCAAATGCTCTCTTCTCAGACCTCACTCTCCAGACATGTAGTGTACCAAGGACTGTTTAAACAAATGCACACAGGCTCATGTAGGCTCAAGCATACTGTATGGTCCATCACAACAGCTGTAAATAAAGTTGATTTAGAACGGCTCATTTAGACTTCATTTGGTGAGATGTAAAGCGACATGTTTCAAATCATTCTTCATTAACCATGATAACCATGATTTACTATACGTATATGCTTGAGACATTTACAAAAAGTGAATATGTGTTCAAGGGTGCTTGCTTAAAGTCCTATATTGTCATTCAAGTCATCTTAGCCTGCTAAATAATTTATACATCTTGGATTAGATCCCTGATCACCAGCTATACTTTCCTCTCCCAACCCCTCCCCAGCTTGTTAATTGATTCTCCATTAATTATCTTTTCACTCAACTCAATCATTTAACTTCACCCAGGTCCATCTGATGCCCATCAGGTTGCCTCCTTAAAAAGTTCAGTTAAATAGAACACTTACCTAACAGGAATCTACCCAAACAGAGCTGCTGGTAGATGAAAGTGCAGAGTAAATGAAGTGCTGCAGAATGCCTGATCAGATTTGAAGCCCTGAGGCAGGTGGGTACTCTGCCTGTCAGTCAGTGGCTAAGGTTTACTAAATGGGCGCTATGTCTGACAAGTTGCATTGCTGACTGTAGAATCAAACGGCCTGTTTTACTATTGCCGTAGGTGCTGAGGCTTTATTGGATATTTTGTTTGCCCATTGGGGTTTCTTTAACCCAAAAATGCCATAGCCACAAATTTGCTACCTTCCCTTTCTGCTTGTGTTATAACTTTTACACCTTAACAGATAAGCTCATTTGTAACCTTGGCTTTGTTAGGCCGCCAGTCCAAAAAGATTCAGGACTCAGACAGATTCAGTGAGAATGAATGAAACACAAGAGACTTGACATGACAGGGGCATACTGAGACGTCCATTTGGAGATAGTGAGGGGGGGGGGCGCAAAACAAGACAAGTAATGTGAAGATCAGGGGTGGAGCAGAGGAAGATAGATGACTTAATGGAGGTGCAGAGACAGTGGGCTGGTAGACGAGGCATCAGGGAGGCTGGTGGTGAAGGCCAGGATGAGATCAGGCACGATGACCAATGGACACCCACTCAACACGTCTCGGCTTGACAAGTGATCAAGGCCGGCAAGAAAAAGAGAGAAAGAAAGGTTGAAAGCAGATAATTAATTAGTTCTGGATACCAATAGATTTTTTGATGTATAACTTGTGTATCTTTGCTAATGATCTTTAAATAGGGCCACTGTATTGGCTGTTGGACTGTGACTTGTGTCATGTGACATGTGTGTGGTATAATACGATGCCAGGATCTCAGGAGGATGTGCTGACTGTGGCAGGGCTTCCATGGGATTCCTATAGATCCAATACCTATTACCTTCACTAAATCCCCACTCTGTAAAGCCTACCTGCTCACACCTCAATCTAACTTTCACAAATCATTGCAGCATGACAGGGCTTCAGAGTCAGGGGATTTGTGATTGAAGGGGGTCACACTTCAGTTGCTTCCATGTTATGCAGTGGCAATTGATTTACAGTACAATTATAAGGTATGATGTGAATGTTTCCTCAACACTGTTACACCCTATTCTTATTCAGCTGAACAACCCCCAGTTGTTTTATCTGCACAGTCAGGAAACACAAGGCACACATTGCCAAATTTGATAACCCAGTTTTGGAAGATGATGGATCCATATTATATGCTTATGATACCTAATGATTGAATATTGATTTAGCCTTGCTCAAAATAAATAGTTATGAATGCACTTCTCATTGGTGCCACTGCTATGATAAAGGTGTTTAATCACTCTGTTACTAATTCACTGTCAAGGATATATGAGTTGTATGCTACTTAATATTCCAGCTTGGTAGCAAATGTTATTAACACAGTTTATGCTACCGTTGTTATGCTTTATGCGATAAAGGGTGGTAATACGTCATGTGTACCTTCGCAACAGAACTTCTCCATTTCCCCTTAATAACTGATATGTGAGCTGTTCACCTATTCATTTATATTCTCATTGTGGACCACTGTATACATATATTAAACATTCTTAATACAATGTGCAATGTAGACAAATAGATACTGGCTCGGCTCCCATTTAATCCCTCTCTTGTTTTTTCACCTGTCATAGACTTTTTTAATAGCTCAGTTAAAGGTCAAGTTATTTCACACTGTAGTGATGAAATGTCATCACTCGCTGTAATGACCGGTACCTGTATTAACTTCTCCGGTACAGAGACATAGATATGGTACAGGTGAAATAATAATTAGCCTTACAGCGAGGGGCAAGAAAGAGTTAGATACAGAGCAGCATTTGTTCTATGAAGACAAGTCAAATGTTGTCTTTTAAGTCTATAAGAGATCTACGTAAAAAATTTCATAATGTGCCTCTGAGTAATTAAAACAAGTACATTTATTTCATACTGTGCACAGGTTTGATCATTATAGTGCAGCAGACTACAGACTGTAATACTGAATGGCAGGCAATAGCAATCTAAGGTACGGTTCAATGCTACAGTCGCTTGTCACCATGTAATCCCTGAGCTCCCAGAGGAGAGGGAAAACCTATTCAATAAATATTCTATTTCCACAACATCGTGCCCCCCCCACCCGTCCCCAACACTCCTGCCATGTGCTGGAGTCCCTTAGGTAAGTTTAACAGCTACTTTTCTATTGTCTCCGCTCTAAGAGGTCAGTATATCACAGTGAATGAATCCTGTCAGTTTTATTACCAGTGGAGCACAGCACCACAGATAAAAACAAGACTTCATATACCACCACCACATCTCCCTGGCCTCACAAAATAGCCTCGCTTGATCAGTCTGTTACTCTAGGCCGCCCTCCCTCCCCTTTCCTCGCCCCTCTGGCCCTTGTTTTTGTTTTTTCCTCCCTCTCCCTTCTTTTTGTCTATCCTTGTCTGTCTTCTACACTGCGTCTCCACTTGTATAGAAAATGACACTGCAGCTGCTCCCCACCACCCTCCTCCTTCCTCCTTGCCTGTGGCCCCCTCTACTCCCAGGCGTGTTTACTGGAGGCCCTATAATGAAAGGGCTAGGCGGAGACAGAGATGGCCACAGGCAAGCCCTGGGGGCCCCTGCCTCACGGCTCACAACCCTTCCAGCTCCAGGATCAGCACAGTATGCTGCCTGGTTCACATGGATCAGTCTGTGTCCTTCAGCCGTATCCATCTCTTCTGTCGGCTTCCTGTCCTAATCCCACCACGGCTCCCTCATGCCTCTCTGTCTGGTATATGTATTAATGGATGGCTTGCATTATTCCTTCACGCACAGGAACATCAGCTGAAGCACCAATTCATACATCATAGATTGGCAAAATAATCTCTACGCTTAATGATGAATATTATTCTGTTGTATCGAATTCAACCACACTTCCATGCATTAAGTCATGAGAATCTGAGAAGGCCTTAAGGGTGGAAAGATCTCCCTACATCTCCCTCCGTTACATTGTTTGGCCAAAATAATGAGCAAGATGACATATGCCTTGTGTCGATAGGAAGTCACAGCAACAGCATTACTGTCAGCTGCAGCTAAAGATGCAAATGTGATATTGGCTGTCACTACACACGTCAAGCAGAAAAACAATATAACCTTTACAGATGACAATAGATTGGTGTCGTTATTTGAAAGATGGTCTTATGAGGGCATTAGAAAGGGTAGATTATATTCAGTGTTTAATTATACTAATTGGGCAGTAACAAAAGAGTACACCGTTTTTTAAAATTATTTGTATGGGTCTGATTATAAAACCAATTGCTTAGATTTTCGAAATTATATACATCAGTTAGCTAAATTATTTGTAATCACATGACGGTGTAGTATATTGTTTAAGTGTAGACAGGCCAGATTACCACCAACCTGGTTGTCTATGCAGTCTTTCACTTTTACATATCCCAGACAGTCTTTGTCATGTATAGACAGACTGAGGAACAGGTATTATTACTGTATCTCACTTTCACTTCCTCACCATTTGTTCCCCACTCAGCCAGTGTTTCTTTTAATTCTAACTTTTCCAACTGAATGCAGCTTACACTGGTCACTTATTCTACATTAAAATAAGAACAGTTGAATAGCTCTGGAGTGAGAAATATAGCTGCTTTAAAAGCACCCCTAAGCATTATGGAATCTAAAGAAACAAGACCGTTAAAACTATAGCTGTTTGGTTTTACTGTGGGGTTGTGGAGCTGTAAAGCATCAGGAGATCTACTGCTCTGCTTCTTTAATCAGTCTGGTTTAGAGTGGACAGGGACATACTTAACCACTGATCACCAACCTGCTGTATGTTGGATGCAGCATCCATGACCTGCATCTCACCTAGTAGCGAGTGTCCAGGAAACTGAACACAACTCCAGGTTAGATATATTGTGGACAATGTGCTCAGACGACGGCAAAATGGATCGGTGCAGGGGGAAAAGAGCATATTTTTTTAGTTACAGTAATTCAGGCTCTGTTGCCCAGCGATTGACTGTCTCAAATTGATGCATGCTCGTTGGGGAGAAAGGGGCCCGGTGATGGGAATGACATGATGGTAGTTGAGTTGCAGATCATATTCTGTGGCTGTCATAGAGATGTGCGTGGCTTGTCTGGCTGCTGACACAGATTGAGTGCTCCCACCATAGATGGACACTAAGCCAGACACAAGGCCACTGATGGCTGACATATGTCTGATGATTGGAGCTGCTACACCAGAATTATTGATACATCCTACTAAGGAGGTTTTTAGGAAAGCAACCTAGTGTATGAATATACTTTTCTGCACCTTTACTAACTATCTATCTATCTATCTATCTATATTAGGTCAAATTAAAGGGTAGGCTAACAGTTTTTGAATCTATCTATCTATCTATCTATCTATCTATCTATCTATCTATCTATCTATCTATCTAAACAATTTTTGAAAATTGTACAGTCATACTATACATAAAGGGGTCATGGATCTTATTCTATATACATACTTCATTCTTTACATTTACCTTCCAGTTTAAAAAACATTGAATAATGTGGTGATATAAGCTTGGTGTGTTGCTTATAAGATTACAAGTATAAAAATAAATAGACAAATCCTGTTTCATCTACAACTGTAACTAGTTATCTAGGCATGTGTATTTAAATGTCTGCAATGAGTAAATCCAATTAAATGTGTTAACAAACAAGTAAAGATCCACTGCTGCTAGGTCAATAAGACCAAACTCACACAGAGCATGCAAATGTGAAACTGTCTGGCTTGAGCATAGCCACTCAATATCATGCATATTGAGCTGGCCCGGGATCATAAGCAACAGGTCAATAGCTGGTATGGATAGTAATGCTGTTTCTCGGCTGAGCTAGTTTCCCTATAGACAACATGGTGTCCCCAGTGAGTCCGCTTATCTCCACAACCCAATCAGATCTCCATCCCCAGTCCTTTGCCCTGAGCCCCAGCCACAGCTGATCAATGAGAAGCAGAGTGACTGTGTTCTCAGTCCACCTCTGGGGTCACAGGTCACAGTCCCATCCATCTGTTTATCCAGCGTGAATGTGGAGGTGATGTCATGCTCATGAGTGTCTCCTTTAAAGGCTGTTAATAATTTATCATGACCCAGTCTGCAAAAAAATTTGAAAAGTGTGATAAAGGAATAGAATGAGATATGGTAGCTTTAAAGTTAGTTTTAAAGAGTTCCTGAAGCTGATGAGTAAGTGGCGGTGACATTTAAAAGTGTTTGTTCACTTTCGTCCATGTTCTAATTGTCAATGCGTATGTCCTCTGTGGGTGACAGGTAAGAGCCAGTGCCATCGCTCAGGACGCTGATCAGAATTACGACTACGCCTCCAACAGTGTGATCCTGCATTTGGACGTGGGCGATGAGGTGTGTGTGCAGCTGGACGGAGGGAAGGTCCACGGAGGGAACACAAACAAGTACAGCACCTTCTCCGGCTTCCTCATCTACCCAGACTGAATCTAAACGTCACTCGCAGAGAATGGACACCAACACACACATAAACACACTCACACAGACATGTATGTATGTATGCAAAATAATGCACACACACACAGAGAGAGATGCACGCGCAAAATGCCTGCAGTGCACACAAAAATATACACAAACATATGCAAGCAAGCACAGACACACACACATACAGACATCTTGAGATTACAACAGATTACAGAAATGTGGATGGAGTGAATATCAGAGATAAGTGGCATTAAGTGGAATTGTGTGATTTTGAGCCAGTTATCATGAGCAACTGCATTTATTGGCGCCCTTTGTGTGCAAATATGAATTTCAGAAGATGTACAGTATAGGTGCACATAATAATTGCACGTTGTGGCTCCGAAATATCTAAAATACTTTAATGTGTTCCATATTAACTGACATTGTGAGAACTAGAATATATCAAACACCATGAGTCCGATTGTTTTTACTGCAATAATGGTGTTGAGGGTGCCATTAATCAAGATGACTAAGCTGAGGCAAATGCACACCTACTGTATTCCAGTATTTACCTTACAGTATTCATTTCTGCTCTCCATTCCAGTGACCTCTGATCGAATGGCCTAACCTATATTTTGCAACTCATCATTGTAAAATATTTAGCCCTCAAGTGAATTACCCCAATTGGAATGAATGAATCCCTGTTGTGATTTACCCTGTATTTGGGGCAGTACTGATTAAAAAGAGGCCATCTGAATAAACACAGATGTTTGACCTTTCTGTCCTGTTTCCATCATGACACAGGATATCACACAGCAAGATAAAACAAAGCATATTTATATTACAAGGCAACACATTTTATGGATGGCACTTGTGTGTGATGAAGTTCTAAGTGCCAAGTGCATTATTGACAATATTGTGTGTGCGTGCGTGTGTGTGTGTGTGGGTATGTCAGTATGTATGAGTGGATATATAGATACTGTAAGATAATGATGCAGTGAAAAGTAACAGCTGCACTGTTTTATTTACATTAAATGTTGTATAATACATTACAGACACGTTACTGTAATTACACTGCCATACCTACTTAGTACTTTATTTTTGAGAGACCCTGTCAAAGTATCATCATATGTATAAACAGTAATCCTGGGATGGGCTATCTGGTATGTTGAATAGGTTGAGTAGATAATTGCTATTAAAATATCTATACCTACCTTGTCTGTGTTCTTGCATAGTGTTTTGGCGTGGTGAAGGTCAGCGCTGAATAAAGGCATGTGCGTTTAACAATTATAAACACACACAGACCCTCGTTCTGTTTTAATTTGGAGTTGGACTAACTGAAGAATTGGATGTATGACATGGCTGCGTGGACTCACAGCTGAAATCGAAGCCACAGTGGCTGACCACAGCCACTGCCGGGTAAAGCATGGATTTCCAATATGTCTTAAGACACTGTCTAAGACACAAACATTAATACCACTATATTGATCTCAGCTTATAATACACCCAGGATCTACAAAATCCAGCCATTTTAAATGTAACAATAGTGATCAATTGTACAAACAAACCAAATTGGTTCAGTGTTCGACAAGGCTTGACATAGTTTATCAGGGTTTTCAACCAATATAATTTGTTGGAGAGCCCACCAATAATAAGAAAGACATGCAGGGAACTGGTGAGATTGACCTTAAATAATATTTGTACCTTTCTCTCAATTTATTTTTGTCATTTATCGATAATCCATAATAGGTCATGCTGTGCTCTTTCTTTTATACACATACACTTATTCTGCCTCTTTGAGGGAATTTATATTTCTGAATACATTCAGTATATGTTTACACTGCTATGGCAAATCAAATTCCCAGATTAGTGATTTATCTAACAATTATTTTTCTCAATTAATCAGCTGATTGTTTGGTCAAATGTTCAAAATGTAAAACATAGCCATCACAATATCCCAGAATGCACAGTGGCTTTTTCAAATGTCTGCTTTTGTGTGACCAACAGCCCAAAACACAAAGACACTCAGTTTAATATCATAAATGACAAAGAAAAGAAGCAAATGCTCACATTTGAGAAGCAGAACCTGTGAAATGTTGGCATTTTTATGGGAAAATTAAATGTTTTGATAAACAATTAATTTTCATTCAATTAATGAAAATAGTTAAACAGCAGATACATTTTTCTTCCATCGACTAATTGACTGCAGACCAAACCTATTAGTCTGTTTCTGTCTGTGCTATCAGTATCACCCCCTGCTCTAGGTGTTTTTTAAACTATCTTCTGTATCTTATTGTAAACATGGCATGAAATGAACGATTAACACTAAGTATATTGAAACAGTTTTTTTTTTAACTCATATAGGTATACAATTGTTTAACAATGTGTACAAATCACAACTATTTGTGAAATAAAACTACACACTGTATGTCAGTTTCTGCACGATTAATACAACCCGTTTATTCTATATTTTCAATATAACCACTTTAGCAGTTCCCAAACCAGAGAGAGAGAGACATAATTTCCATGTTAAAGAGAATGAATCTTAGATTATTGGCAAAAAGTAAAGTGTTTAATTAGAGTAGAGCGCGGATGGCATTCTAGACTTAAAGGATTTGGTGAATCTGTTGCTCCTGAGCAGAGAAAGAGGGATGTAGCCGCGCCATGCCTGGGCCCAGCCCCTGGCTCTCTCTCTTGGCAGATTCCAGTTGAAAGTTAATTGGACGGGGAGAGGTCTGAGACAGGCTGCGCTGAGGCCCATTAGTGATTCCCCTGTCGAATGCAGAGCCACGAGGATCACAGACTCACAAATAGGAGGATTAAAATAATCAATAGCCTTGACTTCCATCGACCACACACATACACACACCAAGTAATTAGTGGACAACCTATTCAGCAGTGGACTATGACACCCTCCTGAACCTTACCCCACACACATAAGCTCCACACTCCACTAGCTGTGGTGCCTAATGAGGGGAAATAGTTGTGGCTGCTTGTGAAGAAAATGAAGAAAAGGTCAGGAAGCCACCAAACAGCCTTCTACTGCTCATATCCTAGTGCTTTGTCACCAAACCATTTCTCAGAAAATGTACAGCATGGCCACAGAATCTCTCAAATCAAATATTTTTGGGCTAAAAAATAAATAAAAAAATACATCCCTTAACAATTGTAACCAACAGCAGAAACTCTAAATTGTCTCAGACTGCCAAAAATGTTTTATATAGTATATTGACATGAGCACCAATGCCTACACTCACGATTAAATTCTTCATTTGGCTCAAAAAGCATAAAGAGCAATAAAGATAGTCCTCTTGTATTATACACACTGTATATTTTGACAGTAAAGTGACTCTTAACATAGATTCCAGCAGCAACACTGCCCTCTTGTGTCGATGGAAACACATGAATTTCTTTTCTATTTTTTACTTTATTCTATCAAATCAAACAAAACCACTGAGATACGTTTTCAGGAAAAAACATTTATTTAGATGCAGCAACAAAATTGGGGTCAATTAAAAACATGGGAACCCATCTGAAATGTCTCATTTTACCTCATGATAGTATGGCTTTGAATATACCTGTTAACTGCAGAATTGGAGGAACATGATCCCCTGCCAAAGCAAGTCTTAGCCAATGATACAGTAGGTCGCTGACAGTTATTACGTATTTCTATATATTAATGTCATCCAACATTGACACAATATATCAATAGTATCAATAGTTACAGTATACCATTATCAATTTATGTCGTCTTAAGTGCTGCATCTTGGAATGTTATTGCAAACAATGCAAGCACAAAGACAAAGTCATTTGTGGTCTTTTGTAGGGAATGTAAAGGCACTTCTTAAATTAAATGTGGATAACTAATCCATGGAA